CCCCCCCCCCCCGCGGTGCCATCTCTCCGACCGGTGCCAACTCTCCGACTCTTACGGTATAAAGAGAAACGGCGAGTACATGACATTCCAGAATTATTCGGTTTACGATCTCTACACTTCTGCCTCGAAGGCTTAATCGCATGAGCGGGAAGCACTCGATTCCCTTGACGCCAATTACTATGTGGCAGTCCCCACATCTACAAGTACTTACAAAAGTAGAACGCGACATCCCCCTCGGCGCCGGCAGGGTGGACCCCGAGAGAAACTCGCCCTCGCTTGCACTCGGTCTCGGAGCAATACCAACGCTGATTCGCGTCCAACACAACCAACCCTGCGCCGTCCCTTCTGGACCCTGATTGTTGCCTCTATCCTTTCGTTTGGCACCGGATGGATATCACCGCGATGCTTATCTCCGCCCTATTATCTGTATTGTATACCATGTACCTCTCCGTGACCATGTTGACGCACCAAATGCGTCCCTCAACACTCGACGACAACGTTCTTCTCCGGAGGTAAGATGCTTTACAATGTCAAGATCAAAACAACACCACGAAATTTTGGCGTTTGAACGCACGGAGGTACGGCCAAGTCGGCACTACTCTCCACGGCGAACGAGTTTTTTGAGAAACTCCACAGGGCCCACCGAAACCTTTCGATGGCCAGTCATGTGTTTTACCATCTCCACAGGGTCTTCGACGAACTTGCACTTGAAGAACTCGATGTGGCTCAGGATCTCGCTGATCTTGACGGCAAACCGAACCTGAAAAAAGTGAGGGTGAACCAACAGCAAAGAAATTTTGCGGTACAAGCGGGGTACCGTTGTTCGTCGAAAGCAGCAAGGGATGAGATAAACTGGGGTCCAACAGCAAGATCACACAAGGACTTGAAGCTGCTCACCGTTAAGCGTAACCCGGACTCTGCAAAATGATGACTGACGCAAAACTCACAAACTTGAATACTTGAGGGAAAGCCCAGCTGACATATTTTGGAAAGCGCTGGTCGACTCCTTCAACTGGCGGGTAGGACGACGATAGGCCAGCAGGCAGCCGGCCTGTCCTTTAGTTCCAAGTTGCGGCGCATAAAACAACACGCTACAACCCGGCACGTGCGTGTTCGGACAAACTCCTAAGAACTGCAACGGCAGCTGCAACAAACAGACGGAGAGGTGGCAGCGACGCGGCAAAGTAGGTTGCGATAAATACGTCTGCATCCTTTGCCTCATCCACTTCCCGAGTTTGCCAATGCGTGCATGAATTTCTCTATTCCCTGGCACGGCCACCACATACAAACGTGCTTCACCACGAAATGTACTAGGGACTCGTCACGGCCCTCCCAGAGACGCAATCGTGCGCACATACAGAGACCTACGGGCGCGAATCCCAGGGACGACCATCTTCACAAACATGTGGCAGCACTTTCAGCTGGCAGCACTTTCAGTGGTGCGAGGCGGCCAAACGAACACCAACGCCCCAACAACTTCATGACCTCGACCAGGTGTTTCACAAAGGAAGGCTAAGCGCCTCGACTCACGACAGGTTCCACTAGCCCCACGGCTCCTGGTCCCACAGCCAGCGGGTGCAATCCAGGGACTTCGGCCGTGTACAGAACGTTTCTGTGGCAGCAGTAGCCCAAGATCGTCAGTCCGGCGTGGATGACGGCACTCCAAGGCGTGTGCACTATCGTCATTTGCCCAAGTTTCCTTTGGTTTCGTAGAGAGCGAGTGAGAGGGAAGATACCTGTCGTGCTTGCATTCAGTTCTCTTAGGATATCATCACTACCCTTTTCGCGACGAAACATCTTTCATTCCAGCTTGGTTTGGTTTGGTACTTCTCTGAAGCAAGAGGTGTTGGCGCGCTTCATCTCCGAGACTAGTCACTGCTTTGTCAAGGCCAGTGGAGGAGGGGATCACGCACGGGAAAACCAACCAGCGCTGGAGACAACGTGCACAAGCAAGGAAGACATTCAGCCAGGCACAGTAGAGGATATGAAGGGCGGGCGAACGAACTCTCGGTATTCCCGGCAATGGCAGCAATAACGAACATGTCAACCTGCACTGTTCGCCGAAGCAAGACGCAACAACACGGAAGCAATAGCGGGACTTGTGTGAGAATGTAGGGTTGGTGCCACTTGGTGCTGCGCCCCCAAAAGCCTACATTTGTCCACACAAAACGGGCTCTCTACTCTCTGGACAAAACAACGAGCCACAACTCCGAGGCCAACACATGATGATTGACACACGAAATAGAATGATCAACCCCCTTTTCTCGGGAGCACAAGCGACGGCACCAACCACGGTAGGAGAGTACCGGTGTGGCAAACCAAAACGATAGCAAAGGGTTCTCGAGGAGGGTTAAGTACCTGCGTGCTGGCTCGGTGACAAGGACGACGTAGTCCGTCACCACTCGAGCACCGTAGTACACCATGGAGAGCTGTACAGCAGTAGCGCCCGCCAGGAAAAGAGCGAGGCGAACACGAAGCACGAAAGGCGCTCAACTCCATCGCCATTGTTGGCTTGCTATTGCTATTGGTGGTGGTTGTGATGGCGTTTGTGTTGGTGACGACGATATCGTCTCGAGCCCAGAAAGCTCCCTTCCAAACAAAAAATCCAGCCTAGGGTCACAAGGAAGGTAAGAGTTACTTACACCAAACTAACAGAGGGGCTGTGGCGAGCCTGCACGACCAGTCAACCGATTTTTTTGAGGTATTTCGTTCCCTACGCAAGTCATGACAGGCATTGAGAAAACACCAAAAAGATACATGAACACGTTCAAAACCATTTCTAGGTCTGGGCTTGAAACGCAAGTGAATTATAGTCGTTCTGCAAACGTGGCAAGAATGCTCTGGAGGACTGCCCGCGCAGATATGGATCCGAACCACAACACGCTATAGACTAATGATTCAATGGTTGATGCAACGCTTAGGTTGGCTAGAGAGAAAAGCTGCATACTATCCTACCCAAGCAGCATCTCCATGCACACCCCGTAGGTAGTCGCGTCAAAATACATGGCGATTCACAGGCGGAGTCAGTTCACAGAATCACAACAAACACAAACGCTGCAGAATCCACGCCGCGTACAAACGAATCCCCGATGAGGGAGCGGTTGACTACTCGCAGGGAGCCATGGTGTGCGCAGCTTTCCGGATGACGGTCATGCTGTAGCAGTCGTTTAATCCGTGTGAGCGTCGTCACAACAGGGGGAGGCACTCGTTACCTTGAGGGCCACGGAAGGGTGCACTTGGAACACGATAAAGACGACGCTGTAGCAGAAGATGTTGAGAGCCATATTCCGCGGTCCGTCCATCGCGTTGGCCTTGCCCATGTACTGAACCATCACCAGCAACGACGAGGACAACAAGAGCATGGGCAGGGTGTCGATATCACTAGTCCACGCGGAAGGAGTCATTGCTGAAATTACCATCAGCACCAGATTGAGTACAAGCGAAGGCATACGAACAGCACAGCAGCAACGGAAACGCGAACACAAAGAAAAAAAAAAACTAGCGATGAAGGTGCACATGAGAACGGCCGAGATGCGTTCTCATGTTCCTGTGAGTAGTGCCAATTTCGAGGCCATTTCTCGCAACATTCCCAGACGCAAGCGCAAATGAGCGATGACAGAGAGGACGCTTGTACGACTACGACCGCGAGTCAAGGCCGAACGACGACTCGGGAGCAAACCCCATGCAAAACATCGTGCTATGCCTAGCGCTATACACGTGAGGGACAACGAGCGCGGACAACGGCAGCACTAGCAAAACAAGACGACGAACAAGAACAATCATAACAAGATTAAGAACAAGAACAACACCTACATCAAGGATCACAAATCACAACAAGAAACACAAGATCAAGGGTCACCAACAAGAACAAGAACAACAAGTGTGAGAAGCTTACCGGGATGTCCTCCTCATCGAAGTACGGGCTGAGATCCAGGCGGTAGCCGATGGGATCAATGATGGGCCCGAACAGGTCCAGCACATGAGTCTGTTCCGCGCGAGGGCACGCGCGACAGGATCAGCGCCGAGACGCAGGCATCAGCGGCAGTCAAGGTTTACGACGCACTCATTGCTGCCTGTCCTCCCCGGTAGCCATTTACTTGTATTGCCCATCGTTTCGACTCGAATCGAGCTTGTCGTGTCCGGAGGTATCGTTTTCTTCCAATTTGGTAGTGCTTGTCCTGGTTGGCAGGCCTCTCCGGCTCACCGGGTTGCCACAGACGCGGCCTTGACCCGACGCGCGACATGACATGAACTGCAAACACTAGGTGCAGTTGCAACACTTGTCAAGTACGAATGTGTTGGTCGACACGTAAAGGCGTCACATCATGGTACGTTCTTCGACAGCTCCCTCCTCGAGATGTCCGCAGCAGCTGTAGCACTCCCCTTCGAAATGACCGAATGGCCGCACACAGTGGGTTTACATAGCTTGGACGGCCCCCGACACGACCCAACAACGGAACATACTCCCCTCGACGATTCTGGACAAAACCGAACCGATCACAACATGGGGCGAGTTTTCGATTGTGTGGACAAGCCCAATCAAGCAAGAACTAAGACTGCCTATGTTGGTACCACTGGGTGGCGGGTGGAACGACCAGCGAGAATACAGCAACAACCGCCAAAACCAACCACCTTCCTTCGTCAGTGGAAGGCAAGCCAAAACTAAAAAAAAAAATCAAGGGTGTGTTCTGTAGGGTATTGGAGCGTCACAGAACCTCACAGGCGTGTTCTGTAGGGTATCGGAAGTGCCACAGATCTCACAGAACTATCCGGTAGGGTATCGGAAGTGCCACAGCACTCGTCTGTAACGCTATGTATGGTAAATAACCCCCAAAAAAACGCCGTTACACTTTGGGGCTACCCTACAGAACATTTTGAAGAGCCTACGCTGGAAAGGTGGAGACCAGAAAACCTGCTGAAAAATTCACGGTAAGACAAGCAATGTCAGGGGGAAATCTTCACGCTCCGCAAAAACACACTTCCAAAAAACAAGCAGATAACTCGCCTTGAGAAGGTTGCCGATGTGAAGGCCAAGTGTAAACTGCCCCGCCGTCTGGATGGTCGACGCCGTAAAGGAGGCGATGAGCGCATTGTAGACGCCGTTGAAACTGGATCTAGCTTGCCTGGGGCCGACCGAGCTCTGTTTGCAAGACAGGGACGGGGATCTTGTCTGTGGCGATGAAAAAAACAAGGAAACGATACTGCGGGGTAACCAACACAGTCTGCTTCGTGCTTTTCGTACGTGGAACTGACCTACATGTACGGAGATAACATTTCATCAACTCCGATGCGGGCTGCTTTGGCCTTTCGTGCGTGGAGCTGACCTACATGTACGTAGTTAAAAGTTAGTTATTAATTCTGAGGCGAGTTGGCGATTGATCTCTGCCATTCTACATACGGATCACGAGTCGATATTGATGTCGCGAACGCAGTCTCCGCCGCCGCCGCCGCCGCAGTAGCGCATCAGCAACTGTTGGAGGCCAGCTGCAACATTTCCTGAATCCGTCGAAGCATGCCCTTCCGAGCGCGAATGTCCTCATAGCAGACAGATTGTGTACTCGATGTGAACCTGTTCCTTCAGTTGCAGCATCATGCTCCCGGCTGCCCTCTCTTTCTGTCTGCCCATCCACCCGTCTCTTCTGTGTGCCTCCCTTCCGCCGTGCACAGAATCCCGCGCAACAACTCCAGGTTTCCACAAAGGACACTTCCCACCGGTGAAACCGCTCATTTGTCGCCTTAGACAATCTTGTAGGATTCCTCTCCACCAGGTAAGTTACTGACGAGCGGCACTTCTACGAAGAAAGCTCTCCGCACGAAAATTCCGCAACTCCGTGCTGAAGCATCCTTTCCTTGCTGAGAAGTGCACGGGTTCGACGTATGGCCACGGGGTGGTGCCTTTTGCTCACACGATGCGCTCGTCTGCATGCCGTCAACCCTCCTCCGCCCAACATCTTGATCATCATTGGAACTCACCCGGAGCGACAACACCGAGCTCCTCGCGGACTGGAACAGCTCCTGTTCTTCTTTGATCCGCAAAAGCTCCGCCCTGTTCATTAACAACATCGGGTGGGCAGGCCTTGCTAGGTATCATTACGTTGTACAAGAAACAGCAACAGCACAGGCAAACTGTAGGCAACACAAGATGCTGGTGCAGACGGTGGGTTGTTTATCTCACCCATGCAGGCATTGCGCCATGACAGAAGAACCACCGTGAGGAAGGGTGCTCGCCTTCTTGGCGCTCAGTGAGTCGCAAAATGGGCACAAACGTACTGCAAGTAATCAATTCGGCGTCGAGAGTGGGGGGACAGACAGCCTTCGTGTCTTGCCAGGCCCGATTTTGCTCCTCTGTGATTTGTTACGGGTGGCCACGAGCGGTGGCGTCAAGCATCCCGAGTCCGAACACAGGGAACGGACTCTTTTCTTTCAGGCCTGATTAGCACAAGGGTAGTCAGCGGCATCATGGAGAAATGGCGCTTCCAACAAAACAGGAAAAGTGCATCCTCCGCTGCTCAGCAAGCTGCTAAACTGCAATCGTTAAACGCGTTTCCGAAATAACCACTTTCGCCAACTGGTTCAGAATGCACGTTCTCGAAGGCTCATTATGGCAAACACGGGAGAGATTCAGGAAATCCTTGTGCTTACCAGTACGTGGCGCGATGGGAACTACAAGGGCCAGGGCGGTGGCATGCCGTGCGTTCACATTCACGCCAGTGCTGCTACCCAGCTTCCAACCGTTGCACACGAGAACCACAAGACAGGCCCATTCCAAGACATGAATGTACTCGGTAGTCACACACCCACGTTTGTGTCACAAAGGGACGCAGCGTAAGACTAGGAGTTTGAGATCAGCCTCACTGCACTGGACGGCACATAGAATTGGACAAGAAGCCAGGACTGGCACAGAGTCACCTGTACTTCTTCATGAAGTAGATTGTTTCGCGTTTGCTCAGGAAGCCGTCCGAGAGTAGCCGCTTCTTCTCCTCAATCATCCTTTCGCGCGCCGCCTGGAACCCAATCGCAGCGCAGTGCACAAGAACAACCAAACTAGCATGAATAGATTGGACGCGTTTTGCTACTGTTTTAGACTCGTCCAAGTACCCAAGGCATACGTATTTAGTCTCAATTCGGACGGGCACTTCGGAATACGGTGGCGTCAACGGAGCAAAGAGCAAAACGTGTTTGTGTTAGCCACGATACGCTAAGCGAACCAATCAATGCGTGAGTTTTTCGTCATGTTTTCTCTGGAAGCCCGTTTTCACAACTTTCCGCAATTTTCCGTGCGTATCAAGCGGGGCCACCTAGGAGGGCAGACGATGTAATGGTCTTGTTATATCCACCTTCCTTCAAACGGGCTAAAGTAAATATTTTGTTCTTGCCAACGATTCATACTACTCCCTCGCCGACCGCGGGGTCGATGTTTGTCTTGAACAAATGGACAGCTATCCATTCTGTGTGGGCATGTCGTGAAAAACATCCCAGGTCATTGGACTACTGTGCCTCGATTCGATCTCAAGTCTCACACGTCTGACGGCTACGACGTGGCCGACTGAATTATTCGGCCATTTTAGAACGACCACGGCCCTTCCTTTGATGGTGTGTCAAAGTCGTGCAGTGCATCGAGGGATATGGTGGGAACAGATATTGTACGTGTGTCGAAACCAACACATTCAGCATAAAAGCTCATCACACGCATAAATGGGGTGTGTCATCTCTTGGGGATGTTTCTTCTCTGAGAGGCAGGCGTTCATCAGCAGCAGAATAGTCTCAAACATGCTGGCAAGAAACGCAATAAGCTGGGTTGCTGGTTCGGATCTCTCCGGAGTATTTAACTCGCAATGTAGGAGTGGAAACTGCATGGTTGCCAATACAGTGGCTACGAGTTGAGAAGGTCGGGACAAGCCAAAACAAGATATCAAGTCCGATTTTCTCATATTTCACAACAGTAGCCACTGCCGTACTTGAAACAGAACAGATCCACCTGAAGGTCATCGCCCTTGACGACTCGTTCTCCCACCGTCTCCGCTGCTTTTGCTGCCTCGCGGATGGACCTCCGTGCGTTGGCGTAATTGCCCACGAGCTCTCTGACTGCCCTTTGCACCTGTTTCGGAAAAAGAAACATCGCGTATAGTCCTTGTCAGCGTCGCCCATCCTTGACGCACGCATTCTTGACACCGAACCACTGGGGGCCTAGAGTAAAACAAACTGCCAACTCTAAGCTGCAGGCGCGCATGATCGGCGCGTTGTGCTGGTTTGCACGACTGCTCTCGGTTCTCGACAATATGGGTTCGTTTACACTCCCAAGACCGGAGACACAGGGAAGGCGGCATCATGGTAAACATGCAAGTCGTCGGGCTAGTGGCGGTTGAGCAGCAGCGGTGGCGGAAACACACGCAGAGCCAGAGATATGGTAAACATAGGTGGCGCCCTCGGCGGACGCTCTCAAGGCATATCTGTACCACAGGCCACCTCGCTTCCCCTTCTGCCTATACAACACCCGGTTTCGGTCGCGGGTCACGCAAGAAGAAAAAGGCGTCCTGAACCTTCTCCGAACCGTAGAGCAGCCTGCTGACTGCGATCTGCACGCATTTTCTGTAGCGGCACCTGCTTCATTCCAGCAATGCGGAAGACGATGACGTGGAACGCGAAGGTCCGGAAGGCCATGCCGTAAAAGAGGAGGGACAGCCCGAAGCCAAACCGTCCCAGATGGAAGACAGGGACCCCCACATTTACCATGTGGCTCCACATGGTGACAAGCGCATCCTCCACCTTTGTTGTAATTTTCGCCATCGACCGGAAAGGAGAGTCTGAGGAGTCCGTACAGTAACGGACGCAGGGATCTACCAACCTGTATCGTACTATCCTGCGACAACCCGCTGCCCCCGCGAAACGAACACCGGGAGAAACTCACAGAAATACTCCAACATGTCGAATTGTAGGACAAGAAAAGAATAGAAAAAACAGTACATGCAGTCCGATAGTGTCCGTGCAGCACGTCTGCCGGGCCGGGCGGGCGGTAATTAGACGCCCCATGTGTTGGCCGTACGTCATTTGTGCAAATAGCCAAATCAGCACACGGCATAGGACAATACTTTCCCTTACACGAATACGTGGGGGGCAGAAAAATTACCAAAATATTCTTTTAGAGCAGTGGCCATAATCGGGTACAACGGGCCCAACCACGGCCATAATCGGGTACCACTACAAGATGCTGCTTCGAGCGACCGCATGACACCATCTGATTGGCCGACGCCCACCCTTACCCGACTCTTTCCAACGGTTGCACCCGATCTTGGCCACTCACCCCCTGGAGGGGTACCCGGTTTCTTTTTCCCCTATCCGAAAATGGCTGGGCTGTTCGGCCAAATCCCATGCACACATGCACATGTCAGCAATGTCCTGCCCTCGAATTCGGACGTTCCGACGGCGGGGAGAGGTGGACCCACCGCCGGCGGCAGAACTCTCGCTAGGGGGAAACAGCAGGTGGTCGGTGCAAATGATCTAGAAGAGCCGGATGAACAGCTCACGCACGAGGTGCGACACACACGAGACGCATCTAGAAAATGGACAACATCTTGATACTCTCTGCTTCCCGTCCACTTTCTCATTGCCGACAAACGAGCGGCCAGCGGTGTGCGTCCGACCCGTGATTGTGTGATGGGTTTTGGGCGAACAGCCCAGCCATTTTCGGGTAGGAGAAAGAGGAACCGGGTACCCCTCCAGGGGGTGAGTAGCCAAGATCGGGTGCATCCGGTGCAAAGACAGTCAAGGTCGGGTAGGGGTGGGCGTCGGCCAATCAGATGGTGTCATGCGGTCGCTCCCAGCAGCGTCTTGTACGGGTACCTGACTATGGCCGTGGTTGGACCGGGGTGTACCCGATTCTGGCCACTGCTCTATTCAAATCCTCTCGAGACAGCACCATATTTCTTTGTGCCTGCACAAAATTGAAAAAAAACAAAACAAAACAAACACTCACATAGTCGATCATGAGGCGATTCTTCCGGGGGGTTCCCCCGGCATCGACACTTTGCACAGCGGCGGCAATGGCGGGCCTGATGCCACCGCTATCTTCGCCACCACCACTGCTGGTGCTGCTGCTTGCCGGAGACGCAGCCCCCCCCCGAAAGCACGTCGCGGCAGCGAAGGCGTTTCCGTGGGAGGACCGGGACCAAGGAAAACGGGCGTCGTTGTCGTCGTCGCTGTCGCCGTCGTGTTCGTCTGAGGACATGCAGACGCGGCTCGGCGACCCGCTCCTTTTACGAACGACGTGGGGAGGGGGGGG